ATTTGACCCCAAATGCGGCCCCGTGGTGAGCCCAGGCGGGCAGCAGCATCCCACCGGGGCTCATGATCAGTGGGGGTTGGACAGAGCGTCCCCAGCCACGGCACCGCTGTTGCTCTCCATTCTCCATTCATCCCCATCACCGAAGAAACATGGAGCAGCACCAGCCCTTTTCATTTCCCAACCCCACAGCGGTCTGAGAGACAGCCAAGAATGGTGTCAGTCGGGCTGACGGGTGGACGTGTCAAAAGAAGCCTCGGGGAGAGAGGCAAAGCCTTCCTAGGACATCACCAAGGTAATGCCAGACCCTGGCAGCCAATGCAGCTCGGTGCAGGAGCTGACGCAGCCAGGGCAGGTTTGGGTCCGTTATGGCTTTTAGCTGTTTGAAGACGTTGGGAAAACGGTGCCGGTGTCAGATGCCAGGTGACCGTAGCTAACGACGGCGCGTTCCTGACGAGGCAAGCGTAGTAGCTGGGGAGGAGAGAACAGGCTCTCCGCGCCGGTGTAAATCACATTCGCGCTGCCTGCTGTGACAGCAGATTCGGGTTTAATAGCAGCGATGCTAAAAGTTGCATGATATTTAAAAGCTACAAAACGCACCCACTCTGATCAGGGGAGGGATATTAAATAAATAAATAAATAAATAATCAGCAAAGCTTTTTCACGAAGTCTTTTTTAAATATTAAAATCCCATCCTTCCCAACAGGAAAGCTCTTTTCAGGCTAAGAGGAGCGACTGAACGGCATCTGATGATATCGCATTGACACAAGTGTCTAGAAAAATAGGGTAGGAATGTATGATCTGTTCTGAAAAAGGAACCCTAGCTAATAGGAAATCTGCTGATGCTACTTTTAATTTCATGACTCAGGTTTGCTGCAAAATTGATGGGAATCTGTGTTGGAGCTTGGTTACATTAAAACAGTTCTCTGCTGTTGGGGTTTCTCCAGTCGTTGTTGCTCTTGGGGGGGGATTGTTGTTGCCAAATTTTTTGGTACTCTGGGGGCTCACAGATGTTATTTGAACAGACGGGGGAGAGGTCTGGCATCCAAAGGAAACAGGAGATTTTGCTTCAGAAACATTCTGTGCAGAAATCACTGGCCAAGGCCTTCACTAAGGGACCACTGCAGACCCCAGCCCTGGGCAGCTGTCCCAGCAGCTGCT